CACCTGTGCATGTACTCCTGAACTTAAAATTTGATTTGAGAGTTATTTGAAGAAACAAACCTAACAGATGCTTTTTGCCCCTTCCTTTCTGTTCTGCAAAGAGGCATATTCCTCGAAGATACGTAAGAATCTGAAAGTATCCAGCACAGGACTAGTACAAAAATATATAGAGTAGAGTAAACTAGGAGAAATACAGTTGGAAAAAAACATCCCAGAAAATAAGAGGATGAATTCATGAGCTACTCTATATACTCAACTTCACTGAATTTAAGTTCTGAAGAGGAGACCTTAAAGAAAAGTTACAAGAAAGAAGAGATAAGACAATGTAAAGAGACTACGAGAGCTAGCTGAGTTTGGGGGAAAAAAAGGAAAACTATTAAAAACAAAAACCTAGAAATAACAAAAAGTAGGATAAACATGACTTAAAATGGTCAAGACTTTGAAGCCAAAGCCAGAGAATGAATCTTTAAAAACAGAAGTCAGAGCATGTTATTCTACTCCAAACAGAACTCTTCACTGGTTTTCCACATCACTTAGAGGTCCAAGGCAACACAAAAGAGTGAAACAAACTGGAGAAAATATAAACGTCCTTATTTTCTAATTTTTTATCACAAGTCAGACATAATAAAAACCTGAAATATGAACACAGAAGGAAATGACTGTAAAATAATCTCAATCTTTGTATTTTTTTTACGTTAGAGAAATATATTTAGAGAATATAGAACTCTTGTTATGGATATCAAAGTAGTTTTTAAAATACAAAATTACAGTAACTGACTCTATTGTATGTTCTTATGAAAGCATATGACTTTTATATGATGCAATCTTACATGAATTTTATACAAAGAAGCATTATTTCATATTGCTTAATTTACTTCTTTAAGATTATACCTACCTGCTATTACAATGTGGTGTTGGTAATTAACATGAAGTGTAAACACCTACACTAAATTTCCATTACTATGAACAAATTAGCCTAATTTTGTTGCCTATATTTCTCTTCACGTATTTTTTTCTCATCTTTACCTAAAGAATTGATCAGATCAAATATCTATTTCAATTCTAATTTATAACTCAACATATCATAATTCATTAAAAGGCTGTTTGATGAATCCAGAATTTAAAATTAGGGTTATGGATATCAGTCAGTTTAACTTGCGCCTCAGCAACCATGGCATTCAAACCAAATTTACCCAGAACTCCTGGAGCATCTATACAGAACCTTTTAAGTCTATAAACTATATATTGTCTGAAGACTATTCTTCTGATACTTATTCTGAACTAAAATTTGGATACAATTAGTCTTTTACTACCCTGCTATTCTGGAAATCTATTTCCAATATAAAACTAAGAATTCATTGGTTAGCTTATACTTGACTTCTAAAATGTGTAGTATATCTTCTATAAAACTGTCCTAATCAACTTTTAATTTAAAGAGTTAATAGGAATTTAAAATGGATATAACATGAACAAACTGAAGAAATATCCACCAACCAAAATTTCTTCCTGATCAGGTTTCTGGTTCAGATTTCAAAATCTCTCCTGGGCCGGGTGTAGTGGCTCATGCCTGTAATCCCAGCACTTTGGGAGGCCGAGGTGGGTGGATCACCTGAGGTCATGAGTTCGACACCAGTCTGGCCAACATGGTGAAATCCCATCTCTACTAAAAATACAAAAATTAGTTGGGCCTGAGGGTGAATGTCTGTAATCCCAGCTACTTGGGAGGCTGAGGCAGGAAAATCATTTGAACCTGGTAGGTGGAGGTTGCACTGAGCCCAGATGGCGCCACTGCCCTCCAGCCTGGGCAACAGAGCAAGACTCCATCTCAAAAAAAAAAAAAAGAAAATCTCTCCTGGTTCCTTCCTCATTTATGTAAAAGGATATTTTTTATAAAAGGCTATGGCAGTTATCCTCTATAGTGTCAACTTTTATAAGTTAAATACACATCCTGATTAATACTTATCTTCTTGTTAGAGCTCTGTTATCCATAAATTACAGGAGCCCTTACTATTTGCTCAGGGGAGCAAATACCTACCCTGTTCAGGAAGGTACTTACATCATATAAAGCTTTAATAGCTGTTTCTTGATTGTAGAATTTAAAACATATAAATACACTTCTCCAGAGTACACAGAGTCTATTTTTTTTTCAACCTTTGTCTTTCTAGATTGTGGAAATAAATTCTTTATCATTTCAGAATGTAATAATGGACTTCAAAACTGATAGGGGAGAATTTTAAAGAAATCATATCTAAAAGTCACAGAGAAGACAATTCCTGATACCAACGAATTTATTTACTTGTCAGAACCAAAAAAGTGAAGGAAAAAATAGAAATGCTGCTTAAAAAAGTAACAGCCATAATTTTGAATACTATATGCCAGGGACTTTCTAGGTATCTTAATGACATAATCTCATTTGCTTCTTCAAACCTATAAAATTTATATTATTCCCATTTTTTTAGATGAGGAAGTTGAGGCTCAGAGAGCAAATAAACTTCAAAAGATCATGGAGGTGGTTAAGAGGTAAGGCCAGGACTGCATCCAAATCTGTCTGGCAAAAGAGCTTGTGCCATTCACACTACCTGTAGTGTCTCTCATGGCAACACAAAGCCTGATTTATTTCTTTATTCTTTTTTTTGTTTATAAGTAGAAAGCTGAGGTTCTAGTTCAATGGAAATCTAGCCTTGGATTTTACTCCAGCTAATTTTACTCCAAACCCAAGTAAGTTTTTGTTTTACTTTTCCTAAATTAGAGCCTAACTGATAAGTCTAAAGAGAAAAAAGTCTAAGATCTTGAGTTGCACTCATAGACAAATAATTCGCCTTCTTTCCCTTTCAACTTACCTGACACCCTTCAACCCTCAACTTGTACCCATCCCCATCTCTCCCATTCTCATTTCCATTAAAGACTTGAGAAACGGCAAAATGTAAACAAATTTCTGAAAAAGAGACACAGTCTAAACTTATATTGCTATAATCACCATCCCAGGCACTTTAAATAAATATGCCAGGAAGGCAAAGTAGACTAACTGCCTGCCTTCTTGGAGTTTACATTCTGGAGGAGATAAAATGACAGTAAACAAGTAATTTAAAAAGGAGGTCAGATAACAATAAGCACAAGGAAAAAAGATAACAGGAGAGGGGGACTAGGTGGTAGTGGCAGTGACCAAGGAAAATCTTGTTGATGAGGTGATATCTGAGCAAGGACATGAAAAGGTTCAGGGTGTAGTGTAAGTGGCTGAGGAAGGTTTAAGGCTAAGGAAACAGCAGCACAAAGAACCAGAGGTAGAAGGCGGCCAGGGGTTAGAGCAGAGCAAATAAAAAGAGAGTAGTAGAAATTCAAGTCAGAAGAAATCTGAGGTGGGGAGATAATGTACAGCTCTAAGGCCAATGTAAAAACTTAACTTTTTTATTGAGAACTGAGAACAATTAAATTCATCTAAAACTGTATTTTTCCTTTGAAAAATAGCTACATGAGCTATATTACCTCTTTAAACTGATAAAGCATTTAAAGTATTTTCACTTTTTATGTGAAGAGTGCCTCACACTTATAATCTCAGCACTTTGGGAGGCTGAGGCAGGCAAATCACCTGAGACCAAGAGTTCAAGACCAGCCTAGCCACCATGGTGAAACCCCATCTCTACTAAAAATACAAAAATTAGCCGGGCCTGGTGGCGCACACCTGTAGTCCCAGCTACTCGGGAGGCTGAGGCAGGAGAATCCCTTGAACCTGGGAGGTTGTAGTGAGCTGAGATCGTGCCACTGCACTCCAGCCTGGGCGACTCAGCGAGACTCTGTCTCAAAGAAAAATTAAAAAAGTATTCTTTCAAAGGTAAGTTCAAATAGCTTTTTATACAAGTACCATGGTTAACTTTACACATGATTTGTACTTGGATTATTCAGAAGAAACTAAGCATTCTTTCAAATGCTTATTTCAAAGCTGACATCTATATACTGTCATGCTCATGATAAGGCTCATTTGACTATCATACTTACAGAAACCAGGAAGTCAACCTTCTACAAGTAACTAAAAATACTTTTTGCAAACATTTACTTTTAAAAGGAAGGGATTAAGTCAACTTTGAGCATTTGAAAAGTTTCTCCTAGGTGTAAAAATAAAAAATGAAAAACAAAAAACAAAAAACAAACCCAAACCCTTCATGTGGACTCATATAAAATAATCCTTATGACAAAACAAAAATTATCAGAATTCTGTGTTAAAATAAAAAATGCAGCAGTAGACTTCTTATGCAAAGTCCTAAACTGTTTCTTAGATGATATTTGTGTAGAAAATTCCATAAACTTGTGTTACATATAATACCCTATATACCGGGCATGGTGGCTCACTCCTGTAATCCCAGCACTTTGGGAGGCCGAGGCGGGTAGATCACGAGGTCAGGATATAGAGACCATTCTAGCCAACAAGGTGAAACCACGTCTCTACTAAAAAAACAAAAATTAGCTGGGTATGGAGGTGCGTGCCTGTAATCCCAGCTACTTGGGAGGCTGAGGCAGGATAATCACTTGAACCAGGGAGTTGGAGGTTGCAGTGAGCTGAGATCATGCCACTACACTCCAGCCTGGCAACAGAGCGAGACTCCATCTCAAAAAACAAAAATAAACAAACAAACAAACAAAATCAACCAAAAAACCCCTTACATACAATGCTATCCCATCTTGATTATCCTGATCTACTTTTTCATTTTTTCAAAGCACTTACCATTTAATATACTATAAAATTCACTTGCATTTATTGCTTGTTTTCCTTATCAGAGTATAAGCTACAAGAGGGCAGCAATCTTTGTTTTGTTCTTTAATGTACTCTAAGCACCCAGAAGAAGATATGTGATCAGTATTTATAGAATGAATACAAAAATAAGTTTCAGCTGATAAAACAAATATGAACAACCAGGTCATGCAGTAAATAGTCAATTATGACTGAGAAACATTAAGAATAACAAAAATATAAATAATGTGTTCTTATTACTCAGAGGTTACCATACCAGATAAAATAAGAAGTTCAATGATTTCTGCATCTCCAAGGTAAGCTGCAGCGTGCAATGGGGTTCGCTTTTCATTGTCCTGTGATAATAAGGAAAGGTAGGAAATACGTTTTAAAATAAGGTTAATTTTAATAATAGTTTAAATAACCACAACAACCCCCCCCCCAAGCCATTATTAACTATCAGCTTATTACTTTTATAACTCTAGCCTAGTCTGCAAGTCCCCATTAAAAAAAAAAAAGGATGTGACCAGCCTGGGCAACACAGCAAGACCTTGTCTCTACAAAATTTTTTTAACAATTAGCCAGGCATACAAGTGAATGAGGCTGCAGTGAGCCATGACTGCACCACTGCACTCCAGCGTGGGTAACAGAGCAGGACCCTGTCTCTATTAAAAAAAAAAAAAAAAAAAAACAACAAACAAAAACACAGGGAATTTCCTTGCTAAGGCAAAAGCCTAAAAAAAAAATTTTTGACCTTAAAATAGTGGTATAAAGTGCAGCAAAGAATAAAAATAAAAACCTAAAATGACAATGAAATAGCTTCTTAGACTTTCTTTGAATAAAGATGCTTGTGCTGCTGATATATATAGGAAAATTTTACTTCATACTAATCTTTTCATCAGTATATTTCCACAGTTTTACAGTTTAGAACTGTTAACCTAATTGAATAAAATAAACCTTAACAAACTAAAAGATTTGCTTATCAAAATGTTTCCACAAGAGTACCCTCAGGGACAAAAAGAGAAAATATTTCTGGGGATTTGACATTATACTTTAAAGCAATTTTAAGTTTTTTCTTAACATTCCTGCCAGTTTTACTTTCATTTCCAAAATACATTCATGTCTGTTTCAATATAAAAAATACATACTCATCCAAATCTTCCTCTAGGAAAAGAAGCTACCTCTAATGCATGTTTCATGGACCTCCTACCAGAAAACAACAGTGCTCTCCAGTTCAAGATGCAAGGCTTTACAGTAATGTCACATTCAGGGATTTTTAATTCATAGATACCCTATCTAAAGTTACAACAGAGTATTACTGACTTGGCTGCATTTTTAAAAAACTATTCAGAAATACTTATATTGAAACTTACGTCCTTAATTTTTGATAAAGGCTTTTGTGACAGATTGTTTGTCCACAGGAATAAAATTTTAGCTGGTCACTTAGCCACCCAATGAGAGAATACATTCCGAGCCTCCCTTGAAGTTGTTGCTTAGTGTGGACCAATGGTATGTGAGTGGAAATTAATAACAGGCACAACTTCCAGGTCATCTTCAACTTAAAAGACAACTACTCTAGGCCGGGCGCGGTGGCTAACGCCTGTAGTCCCAGCACTTTGGGAGGCCAAGGCGGGTGGATCATGAGGTCAGGAGATCAAGACCATCCTCGCTAACATGGTGAAACCCCGTCTCTACTTAAAAAAAAAAAAAAAAATTAGCCTGGCGTGGTGGCGGGCGCCTGTAGTCCCAACTTCTCGGGAGGCTGAGGCAGGAGAATGGCGTGAACCCGGAAGGCGGAGCTTGCAGTGAGCTGAGATCGTGCCACTGCACTCCAGCCTGGGCGATGGAGCGAGACTCTGTCTCAAGAGATAAAAAAGGACAACTACTCTAGAATAGGGCTAATTGCTTCCTGCTTCCCACAGTCTAGAAGGCACATGTGAAACTGAGCCCCTTTGACCATGCAAATGTAGGCCAATATACTAGCATTCTGTCAAGCAACAAGATCTGGAATAAATAATCCTACAGAAAAGAGTTGCTTTACCAGCTTGGACCACTGACTTTCAGGCTATTAAGAGAAATAAACTTATTTAAAGTAGGTACTGTATTTGGGGGGCCTCTTACCATAACAGAATACTACTACAGTTTTCAAGATTTAAACAAATGAAAAATTATACTTCACTTTGTAACAACTTTCTTGTTTAGGAATCCCTTAATTACTTTAAGAAAAAATAGTCGGGCCATTGAGAATTAAAGTAAAAACCTGCTTGCTAGGCAAAAGAAGGATTAAATATCTACAGACAATCCAAAAAAAGGCTTAGCTGTAGTATATGACGTTATTATAAAGAGGTATCTTAACATTTGGGAGGCTGTGGTGGGAGGATCACTTGAGGCCAGGAGTTCTACATCAGCCTAGGCAACACAGTGAGACCTCATATCTATAAAAAATAAATAAGTAAATAAATTAGCTGGGTTGGTGGCATGCACCTGTAGTCCTAGCTACTCAGCAGGCTGAGGTAAGAGGATGGCTTGAGTCCAGGAGCTTGAGGCTGCTGTGAGCTATGACCATGCCACTGCACTCCAGCCTGGGCAAGAGAGCAAGATCTTCTCTGGTGGGGGCGGGGGGGAATGTGTGTAACATATAATTACCACTGGTCTCATTAAACATTTCTTCTTATAATTTTAATATTGCTTTTGTCCTTGTAACAGGTGTTCCAGCAAAGGGAGGTTGATATAGTGCCAATGTTAAATTGTTCAATAAGCTAAGAGTTCTTTCTCTCACCACAATTACCACAAGACCTTGTTTTTTATTCCAATATATACCACCCCAGGAAACAGAATTCTCTGCACAGAAATTATTCAACAAACAATTGTTGAAAGAGCTAACGCAGAACCACTATAGTAACAGAATACATGCAAAGATGAGTCCTAATTTAGTCATTTTTTAAAGAAAGGACACTTTGCCTAGGCTTTTCAGTGCTACTCATTAACACAGCAATCTTCCTAGAGTGTTTAAATATGATCAGATTTAGTGAAACTGAGAAACATGTATTGCACCAGATACACCACACACATAGCACAACAACACAGAAAGTGAGTCATCCATGTGTGAGAGATGTCTGGAATTCCATGACTCAATGCCTCTCAAATCCCATTAATGTGTTTTATGATTCATATGAACACAGTTTTTCCTCTCTGCAAATCAATTTGAAGAAAAGGGAGAAATAAAACTGGCTGATTTTGAAAGAAAGAATTTATATATCATATTTTACTACAGTTAAACATTGAAAATTAGGTAATAAAATATTTCAGATTTCTTTCAGCAAAATGTATTAAAATTAAAAAGTGACAATCCCCTTAGACACAGTAATTCTATTTTAAGACTTTTTTTTTTTAAGGCCTACATGTGTCCAGGTAAATGATTAAGTATATTTATCGAATCACCGTAGGAGGCAAAATGCTAGAAACAACTTAAATGTCTGCTAAATGGTTACCTAAAATTATAAAACACAAACAAACTCTTAATCTTTATTTAACTGACTCACATGATTAACCAATATCCTTGGCTTCCTGAGTAAAATTAATAGATGACTATGGCACATTAAATATTCTGACTCGCAGTTTACCACTAACAAACCCATACAGTTCTGCCCCCATGATGGGGTATGTTTATCAAGGGTAAGCTGTGTTTGTTACCACAACTGAAGAATCAATAAAAGCAAACTACTGAAAAAAGGAAAGTGCTATTGAATTGGGTATGACTGAGATAATTGGAAACACTAAGGCAAACAGTAAACAGTAAAAACAGGGGTTTTGCCCTAAGATTATTCCTTAAGGGTCTAATTTCTTACATCAGCTACAGAAAGTCTAAATGGAAGTTACAGATAATGCACTCTGAGTATGGTCTGAGCAAGGAAGAGAACACTGAACACCTACCTGTCAGTGGACTCCACATCCAATGAAAAAGCCTTGGCCTAACTTTAAAAAAAAAAAAGGCTGGAAATACACAGTCACACTGAAATGCTCAGAGATCACATTTTAGAATTCCCAACTACCATATATCAGATGAGAGGTCTTCTAGTTGTACATCCACACAATGAAATATTGTGCTTCCAGTGTAAAATAAGAAGCAGACCTCAGTGTTCCTTATCAATGGAACAATCTCTAAAGCACAGCATTAAACGAAAAATGCAGGTTCAGAACCACTGTAGTTAAAAGGTTCTACATACACTTAGGCTTGAATATGTATGAAATATCTCTGGAAGAATACTCAAAAAATGAACACAGTAATCTTACCCCTGGGGAAATAAGTTTGTTGACTAGGGTCTGAGTGTGTAAGAGTTATTTTTCATTATTTGTAGTCTTCTACAGGTACATGTTTTACAAAGAAAAACAAAACAGAAAAAATTAAAAATAACTTTATTCAATCAACTGAGAAGCATCGTAATAAAAATTCTAAAAATAATTTCCCATAACCAGGCATTTTGTAAGTACTAGGTGCCCATTAAAATATTTTTTCTTAAGTCAGTTTAGTTTAGAAGCCATTACATCTCAATGTTCTATTATTCCAAAATAGTCCCAAATAGAATTATTAAATACACACCAGACTGAAGTTTTTGAACTCATTCAATCATATACTTTATATACTTTTTTAAAGTTTTACTTTAAGTTCTGGGATGCATGTGCAGAACATGCAGGTTTGTTACATAGGTATACATGTGCCATGGTGGTTTGCTGCATCTATCAACCCATCATCTAGGTTTTAAGCCCTGCACACATTAAGTATTTGTCCTAAAGCTCTCCCTTCCCTTGCTCCCCCACCCTGTGACAGGCTCTGGTGTGTGATGTTCCCCTCCCGGTGTCCATGTGTTCTCATTGTTCATCTCCCACTTATGAGTGAGAACATGCAGTGTTCAGTTTTCTGTTCCTGTGTTAGTTTGCTGAGAATGATGGCTTCCAACTTCAGCCATGTCCCTGCAAAGGACATGAACTCATTGTTTTTTATGGCTGCATAGTATTCCATGGTGTATACATGCCACATTTTCTTTATCCAGTCTGTCATTGTTTCCAAGTCTTTGCTATTGTAAATAGTGCTACAATAAACATACGTGAGCATGTGTCTTTATAGTAGACTGTCAATCATATACCTTTAAGGAAATACATTTTTCTTACAGCTCTTACATAAGTGCTATGAAAGGTATTTTATACATATGATTAGGACTACAAAAAGTGATTGCTTACTCTCCCCAAATAAAAACAAAAAACAGTTTTAGCTCTTACAGCAATTATCTTGAGAGACAGAAGGTGAAATACATTAAAAGTTCTGGCCTAAATAAGACCAATGATTGTTAATTACTCT